ATCAATGGAGATTAAGGAATTACGAAAGACTCGTCGGAATTCGTTAGTCTAGCTNNNATTCCTACCGACATTAAAAGTCATCAAAGTTTGTTCGTTTGTTGCGAATGATTATTATTAGTAACTGCTATTATTAGTAAATTTCCCGTTTTAAATAATGTTGTTTCAATGTAACATCTTATTTTATAATATATTCCAAAGCAGATGCGTTCTGAAAATTAATCAAATGAGTATGAATTTAATTCTGGACACTCATAGGGGACACTCATCTAATAATTAATATATTCATTCTAATGAAATATATTAATTATTAGATAGTCACTCACAAAATATATGTTATATGTTATAAAAAAATTCATCTTAACTATTTTGATTTTATCAAAAATTTGTATTACTATGGATAAAAAATTTATAGAGTTTTTTATTTTTCGACAACATTACGTCATTTTTTCTATGTTATATCTTTTCTACTGAATCATATAATTAATAATTTAAATCTTTATTATTAATTCAAATCGTATATCATATTATATATGATAATTCGTAAACAATATAGAGAATGAATTTCACAAATCATCATCACAGTCATCACAGTCATTACCAAAACAAGATATCTTACAATCTCTTGAAAAAAATAATGAATTAATGTTAAATTAAAAAAATATTTTGAATAATATCACCGAGATGATATTATAATATATACACAATATATTATTATATTAGCATTTTAATAATCTTTTAATTTGATATTAATTTGTTATATTGCTTTTTGAAAAAATCATAAAATATTTTGTTTTATTTAAAAAGACAGCTAGAAATTCATAAAATTTGATTTAATAATAGAAAACAATAATTAATAGATAAAATAACTGCAATATTGTCAATATCAGAAAAAACATTTCAATAATACGTAAAGTATAATGAATTATATATTGGAGCAATTTTTTTTTTTATTAATAAAAAATTTCTTTGAGGAAATACAATCAATTTCCAAAGAATTCAGCATTTTTTTAATTTTGAAATTTCATGTAGAAATATTTTTCATAATAATGTATTTAAATCTATGAAATTATAAAATGTAATCTAAATTTTATAATATAATGTAATCTAATATTTTATAATTTATATTTTATAATTTAAAATTTTGTTCTTCATATCATTATAAAGTTACATTGAAAAAAAAAATAACTTTTAAAAAATAACTTTTTATTTTTCTAAAGTGATGTTCTGCTAAAAGATATTGTCATATTCTATATATATTCTATTTTATTCTATAAAGTTTTATAAAAAATAAAAGAAAATTTTTTAAATAAAAAAATTAAATAACAAAATAAATAAATATTGTATTTTTAATGAAATTTTGTAGTATAAATAAAATATATAAAATATAATGAAATATATCTATATACAGCAATATTTTTTAGCAAGCTTTTTAAAAATTAATTTTATTTTCTCAAAAATACTTTTCATTGATAAAAGAAATTGTTTTATATAATTATTATATATAACTCGTTATATTCTATATACTTACAAATTTTCAATAAAATTAAAATTTTTAATTAAAATGAATTTCTCTGTAATATACGAATTTAGCGATTGACTGTATGTTTATAGAATTATCTGGCATTTACAAATAGTATCTAATAATTTTAATTCTAACCATATTATGAAAAGAAAGAAAATAAATGTAATAAAATAGATAAGAAATGTAATGTCAGAAAACTTTAATAATTTGCAATAATATAATGTAAATTTATAATAAATTATAGATATATTGACATGATATTTTATATATTGATATGATATTGTATATATCGATTTATATAATAATTCTGATTAGCTATATTTATTATACAGATTTTTTATTTTTTTCTATTTTTATCAAACTTTAAATTATCTAAAGAATATAAAGTATTTCTTTAAAATATAAGTTTCCTAAAATATTATTACACACATATTATATTTGTATTATTTATACAATTTGTATAAAAGAAAATTATATAAAAATGATTTTTGTTGCTTTTTAAAATTTAATATTCTATTGCATTCTATTCTTAAATTTTGAAATATTATCTATAAAATAATAAAACGCTAAAAAAAATAAAATTCTTTTAAATGAAATTCTTTTAAATGAAACTTTTATAATATATATTCATCCTTGTTTATAAATACTAGAACACCTGCTAACTTCACACAAAACATGGTAATCTAGATTACAATATGATTAATCAACTAAAGTTTTCTATCAACACAGAATAACGATTGGAAACAAAAACTATACAACTTATAACATCAGAGGTTTGTAAAAATTATTTACAAAATTTAATAAATAATATATTAAAAAAAAATAATATATTATTAACATTAATATTTTGACATTTATAATTTCTTGATATAATTATATTATTGAAAGCATATTATATATGTATACATTATGATAAATTAATGATAATAATTTATAATTGATAAAATGTCATTAATAAAATTATTTATACCTTAACTCGAAAAAAAGCATACTTTGCAACAATTAAAAAACAAATAAATAGTATGGAATAATAATTAATTCAGTTTTTAAATATTAATAATAATTTTTAAATTTAATATCAATGATATCAAAAATCTAATATATGATTATCTTTACATATAAGTACATAATATTCAAGAAAACAATGCAAAATGACAGGTGTCCATTTATAAAGCAACGAAGCGACAAATTGGCAAGGCTAATGGAAGAGCAAGTGTATCCTCAGTAATTTTATTTCGCGTTGTATGCGTGAAAAATTGATAAAAACAGTAATCCGAGAGAATCGGGGGAAGTTTGAAAATTAGCGGAAAACAATTTCGATGAGCATCATCGTTGTTCCTTTTGCTGTTTCTTGGCCTCGACATCCGGTGACGGAACAACAGATAATTATACGTCCTCTTTTCCATCGAAAACGCATGCAGGAATGTCGAAATGACGGTTCTTCTTTCCATTCTTTCCATTCTTTTATCCTTGTCTGTTCGTCAAGGGAAGTTCGACTCGCCAATATTATTAGAGGCCAGGAAAAAATGCATCTGCCTAATGCTCCACTCAAAATCTTGTTCGCGCTATTAGCGGATTATTGCTATTCCATTTGTTGAAGAAAAAGAAAAAAGAAACACACCTGGCATTTCTTGATACATATCTTCGATTCTTTCTTCCATTTAGTGATTTAATTTTATTTGTTCAACGAATGATTTGTAAAAAAAATTTGTATAGAATAAAATATTATTTTAATATTTAAGAAATATTAAAATTAGTAAAAAAAAAATGAAAAAATCTCTTAAAAAAAATTAACTTAAGAATTTTGAATTATAAAAAAAAAACTTGAATTAAAAATCAAAATTTTTGGTAATTAATTAGTCATAATATAATAAAAATTCAATTATTTGAACTATTAATCGGACGATAGTGTATAAGTAATCTTATTATTGATTTCATATGAAAAATTACAATTTTTATATATAATTTTCTATTTATTTATTTATATTTACAAATTATATTTGCATATATTATATATATATGCTTTGATCATCTTTATTTCCTACTCTTTTTAAATTATTAAATTGCATATTTTTTACAAAGTTAATAATTCCACGGTAGTACTTTTTTGCTTCATAGCATCTGATGATTATCTCTAATACTGTGAACGTTTCACAATGCATAAGAATTATATTTGAAGAAATATCGTCTTCTTCATTGTTTTCTTCATTACAAATCTTTTTAATTCTTTCAATAATTTTGTTCATTATTTATATGATCTTCAAGTCTTTCTGTCACATCACTTTTATCATAATTCTGGTTTACGCATGATATTTATTTTGATGTTCAAATAATCGAATAATTTGGATAATCGAATATTCGGATATTCGAGATTTTATCATTTTTTATAAGAGATTATTTATTATTTTCTATTTTTTGAAAGTGAAAGAAGGAATAAAATCTTAAGTCTAATCAATATGTCTCAATGATATGAAAACAAAATATACGAATGAACAAAGAAATTTGAATGTTAATGTTAAATAAAAGAATTTAATTATTTTCGGTTACAGGTCAAGCGGGAGTTAATCAATTGGGTGGTGTGTTTGTTAACGGGAGGCCATTGCCCGATTGCGTTCGACAAAGAATCGTGCAGCTCGCTTTGGTTGGTGTTAGACCTTGCGATATTTCTCGACAACTCCTAGTGTCTCATGGATGTGTCTCGAAGATTCTTACAAGATTTTACGAAACGGGTAGCATTCGACCAGGAAGCATCGGAGGAAGCAAAACAAAAGTGAGTATTTTAACAACTATATAACGATTTCAAATAACGAAGAATAAAGAACACAAAAAAATTTGAAAATATTTATACCTATCATTGCATCTTTCCTGTTTATGGAAGATTGAAATGATTTAACCGCTTAATATTTTTATCTATATTAATAATTTATATAATTCCAATACAACAATTATGTAAATTTATTATTTTTATTATTTATTATTATAAATTTATTATTTTTATTTGTAAAATATTAAATTACATAATATAAAATTTATATATCTTTAAGCTATTAAATCTCAAGGAAAATTTCTTGAAATTTTTGCTGTAATTAATTGCTACTTCTTCTGACAATAGCCAGAAATCTTATTTTAGATCGAGTTAGAATATTAACGGATTTATTATTAATTATTACTTCGTAGTAGTAATTTATTATTTTTTAAGTATTTTTTTAATATCTTGCAAAATATGAATATTGCGTTTAAATTTATAATAAAATATATAATAAATCCAAGATTATTCAATATTAATATTATTTAATTAATAATGAAATACACAAACAATTTAGATCAAAATATTTAATTCGAAAATATATCATTTTAATTTTTATTTAATATTTTTTTTTAAAATAAATATCACTTATTATATAAAATATGAAATATAAATTAAATACTCGAAAATTAAATAATATATATTTAATATATATTTAATATATATTTAATATTTATATATCAATTATGATTTGATAATATCTGTCTCAAAATTGCATAATTTATTCAGTTATTCAAATCTGTAATAATCAAATTATATTCATCTATGTTCTTTATCATTTAAACAGATTCCAAAACGTTTTATAATTTATTTTACATTCACCAACAATAATCTTCCTCTTAAAAAATATTCGCATCAATTATTATTTCCGCGCCATCAACTCCACCATAACGGGCTTTCAAAAATAATTACTGACAATTACATCTTAAATTGAAAACAACGTGACCATAAACCAGCACACATATCTTTATTCGATCCAACGCTATTTTATCTAATCTAACCTAACTACAACTCGTTTCGATCATCTTTAGTATTTGTATTATATTACAAATAAAATTATTACACAGATGTTACACAAAAGGAAAAAAGAAAAAAAGAGTAAAAAAGAAAAGAGAGAAAGAAAGAAAAGTAAGAAAGAAGGAAAACACGGAGCAAAAAGCGTAATAAATAGTGAAAAGGATGTGTGTGTGTTATGGGGCGGTGACACTGATGAGAAGAGACGCGGGCGTAAAAATCGTCAGCTGGGAGTATCGCGCTGATGTGATTTTAAGTAAGGGCTGTACGAAGCCGACAGCGCGTGCAATTATCCAAACACCTTGCAGCGGCAAACATTTGCATAATTTCATGGGTTTGCACGGTCGGTTTTCTTCTGCACTCGCGCCGCGGCCTTGATATCGCGCGCGATATTATCGGAACGTTGTGTTCGAATCTCATAGGAAGACGGAGAGAGACAGAAAGAGAGAGAGAGAGAGAGAGAGAAAGGAGCATGAGGAGAAGGAGGTGGCCAACGATGGCCAAAGGAATCGTGGAAGCGTAAAATTCGTAAAATTTGGATCGTAATTGGAAATTTGGAAGTCGTAAAATTTGATCGCTTCGATCGAAAACGAGCCGAATTAGACGCACTTAGCAATCCTTTAAGATCCGTTTTACGCACGAAAAGTGAATTCATGGTGTTCGCGAACACCGTCCTCCTGCTACCCTCTTACCTTCTTAATGCGTATCTTATTTGAATTTCAAATTTATTATTTACGGCACGACGGCTATTCAATCGATTTATGAAAATTAAACACTTTTATTGAATTTTTCTTTCCTCTTTTTTTCCTTTTCTTTTTTCACTAACGAAAAGCTTTTCTGCTAAAAGAATCGATCGATTCACAATGATAAGACGGATAATGATATATATGAACGGAATCACAGTTGTAATTATCGAATTGTTTATATGCGAAAAATCGAATTTTCGTTATCTATGATGCTGTATATTGTATCATGAAACCATAATGAGATTTCTCAAAAGATTCATTCAAAACATTAAATTAACATAAACTTGTTAAAAATTTATGTATTTACTAATATATTATACAAATTCATTATAAATTTATTACAAAATTAATTCCCCCATTTTGAATTTGTTCCGTATGAATTTCAATTGTTATTGAAAAAATTTTTTAAATAATAATTAATTGAAAAATTCGTAAGATAAAGAATTGAAAGTATTATTAAACTATCCAGAATTATTTGACAAAACTTTTGAAAGTCTTCAAAAAATCTTCGAATTTCCGAAAAATTCTAGATAAATGAATCTAATCACCATCCTAAATGGATTCTTCGCGATGATATCCCATGCGAACGACACCGGATCGGTGGAACACCGAGAGGAATGGAAAAAGAAAATGAAAAAGGAAAAGAAAAAAATAAGAGGAAGCCGTGTTGTATTACGCGCGTGACGTCATTAATGACAATATAATTGCACGCTACCACACACCACAACGCGCCCGTGCGGGAACTCGCGCGATCTTCGTTTCGGCTTAATGAATTTATTTTAATAATGGCCATACCTGGCGTACATCGACCTTTTGCCGCTAAATTGCGCACTTGTTGTTCGCTTTCCGTGCAAACCTGAAAAAACATATTTAAATTCTGACTTTGCTCGAGGACGATTACAAGATGCGTTTAAACGATCGTCATCAGCCGTCATTATCGAGCCGTGTTCGTTTTGGTAACTGACAACGTCAAAATAATCGAGATATAATCGGATATTGTAATTTCTGAAGTATTGTATTTTCATTGCATCTTTCTGAGTTTCTTCCTGAGAGAATCGATTTCTTCGAAAGTAACGAGAAGAAGAGAAAGAATCGATTTTGCAAGAGTATTCGTTTCTTTGATCTCGATGAGAGTTTACAAATACATAATATTTGAGAATAAAATTTTTCATAAATGGATATTGCGTTAAGGATAACTATCTAACAATAAAATTAATATCGAACAATAAACGCAATATTCACTTGTAAAATAAAAATACGTATTCTATACGTATTAAGAATTTTACTTTTAAATATATTTGTATCCTCGAATTAAGAAGAAAATATATATCGCATACTTCAAATAATTTAGTTCAAATTTTATATAATTTAATCCAAAATTGTTTTCTTGAAAATCGTAATTTTTAGAAAACAACTTTATGCGTGTTATCTATGTTATTGTTGCAGCAAATGTGAGTACCTATTGCTATTAGCGATTTCGATACTTATAAAACTCAGTTTTTTTTTTAGAAAGATATAAAAAAATGATATTTTTGTGTGTATGTATGTGTATTACATATTGCGATATTTTTTTTTTCTTCTTTATATTTGCATCTCCTTTCATTATGATTTTTGAGAATTTAAATGTTAAAGTTCACAATAAAAAAATTTGCTCCGCATGTTTATATATTTAATGCAAAATAAGAGATATAAAATTAATTTGGTCAATTATTTTATTCTTTGTCAAAATTATTTAAATACATATGTATTTGTCAAATTTTAAATTTATTTAAACAAATTATAATTTCTTATTTTTTATTTTCGATTTATTTTCATCTCTCATTATTCTCTGATCGCTTGTATTCGCCATCACACCTTATATAATTATATTTTTATTTGACATTGACACAATTTTATAATCTTATCTTTCCATTCTCAGAAATAAAAATTTGCAAAATATTTTTAAACTTATTCATACAACTTATTTACATATCATACTATTAACTTTCATCGAAAAAAAAAATTTAATTCAATAATTAAAACATTGCCGTAATATTAAATGTTGTTAGAATTTTCTTTGTTATATCTTGATAAATATATGTATCTTAACTCTCAATTAACATGATATCTTTATTCGTTAAGTTAATAAAACAATCGAAATATCGGTAATATCGCATAATACTGGTAATCATATAATGAACTCTTAATTATGCGATAATTAATCTAATTGCCTTTTACCGAAACCTATTTTTAACTTTACTTTTGCCAATCGTGCATTGTCGAAAATTTTTTCCAAGTAAAAAAATAAGTATAGACTATCTCTTGAGAACCATAGATTAACATTTTAAATGTATCGTGTTTTTAAAAAGAATCGACGAATAAATGTAATCTTGCCATTGAAAAGAGTCACTGATAAATCGGATTTGTATTAAACTTTAAGTGAAATATAAATATTAAAAAGAATTTTTTATTTAAATAATTTAAATAAATATAATAAAAATTAAAAAATATTATTATTACAAAATTGAAATTAAATATGAAACAATTTTAATGAATGAAATAATAAAATTTAATTAACGACATTTCATAAAATTTTGTGTTATTATTTTGTTTAATATGAATTTTATGAATTTTATTTATAAGAAATAATTCCAATCGTATTAATATTTATCATTGAAATCAATTTTTTTTTATTTTTCAAAAAATTATTCTCATCGATCCAGTTATTATTTCATAATTGGATTATGAATTTTTAAATGTTGGTTTAATAGTAGTTTTTAATAATAATGTCTCGAATAAAATTTTTTACATATAATATAAACTATGATTTTAATTAAGAAAAAATAATTCAATTATTTTTAACGTTATTAAATTAAAACTATTTATTAACTACCATTGTATTTACAGTTGTGTTTTATATTGTATCTATATTCTAAGTAAATAAAATGATAAACAACATAAACAGAATATTTTAAAAATGATTATAAAATTATAAATGTATTAATTATATTATCGATATATGACAATAAATTATTCTATTTAAATCCTTAAATCCTAAATTATATATTTTACATACAAAGTATAAACTTTCTAATGTTTATTTATATTATTTGTACAGAATATGGATTAAATGTTTAAAAAATTAATACGCGAAACAAAAATAAAAAATAAAAAGATAAAAGTATATATTATATTCATTCTGCAACAATAAAGAAAGATATTAGA